GGGGGCCTGGATCCCCAAAAAGTGGGGATTTGGGGTTCGCACTGCTAGAAGGGCTCCCGTGCAAGTTGCCACCCAGGCCCGCCGCTTTGACATGGTGCCAGGCCGGAGGCCTGTCCCAAGAGGCTCGAGCGCCCATGTATATGGTCGGCGCTGCTCTCGTTTAGGGTTTCGGGGCTTTGGCTGTGCATCAGTGTGAGCGCACGGTGGGTGCGCTTTTGTTTTAAGAGTTAGGAGCGCGCCCACTCTTCGCGCGCTTGCGCAGCCAGAGGTCCCACCCCAACTACCCTAACTATTCTCAATTAGGATTTAGGGTTCCAACCCCCCGAACCGGAGGCCTGTCCCCAAGCCTTGAGCGCTCATGTATATGGTCGGCGGCGCTCTCGCCAGTTTAAAGCTTAGGGTTTAGGGCACGAAGAGGCTCAAAGGATCCTAAGTGTGTGCATGTGACAAAGTAGGGTTTCCACAGTAGGAGTTACTCCCTACATAGGTACTTAGGATCTTTGGGGAGGGTTTTGGGACACGCGGGCAGTGAGGGGGTTTGGGGAACCCTTATATAGCTATGTCTATCGGGGCTTGTAGCCCCAAAGCCCCAAAACCATGACCCTATAGCAATGAAGGCTTTTTCTACAACCCCGACCCTTCACTTACCGCCCTCTTGTTGTCCCAGGATAACTAGGGGCCCCCTTCCTGAAAGGGTTGGAGGGTTTGATGCTTCAAAAATCGTTATTGCTAGCAGGCAGGGCCCTAATTACTGTGAAAAACACTTTCGGGAGTGCGTAGCAATTTGGCACTCGCACTCCAAGCCCCTATGGCGCTTATTCCAAACTCTGGACTCTACAAACTAGCCCTGCTGCCGAACCTACTGGTTCCTTCTTGGGACAATCGTTGACATTTGTACTTGACCTCCCAGAAGAAGTGAACTATTGTCTAAACTTCCCCCTGAATAACCACTATAGTAGTCGCCTGTATAATCCCCTATATAACCCCCTCTAAAGAGTTTAGACCATAGCTCATGTGAAAACTACACTCAACAATTGCCAGGCCGAAGTGCTGGCAAAAATGGCCCTAACCACACTAAAGCCTAGAAAAAAACCAAGCCTTATCGGCGTCATATTTGGGTGATGGAAATAAAATGCAAACTCCCATTTAGGGCTTATGGAAGCCGCGACAAATGTCTTTGGGTCTTGAGATATGTATGCGCACACCACAGAAATCTATAAGGCTTCCTTCACTCCGTGCTGACCAACCCTGAACCTCCACACCATCAACCGAAAACAGCGCAAAACACCAAAAGCACAAAGTGTCCGGATCACTATCAAGCCCCTCTACACCCCAAGAAAACCCATATCCTTAAACCCCTAAACCCTAAACCCTAAGACCTAGGAGCCCCCCCTGAAGGCTTGACAGCCTCCACCAGGCGCAGGGATGCCGCGGGCCGCTCCACGAGGAAGATGACCTGCTGTCAAGATGCAAATGCTTTAGGGTCTAGGGTCTAGGGTCTAGGGTCTAGGGTCCCTAGGGTTTAGGGCTAAGGGTCTAGGGTTTCTAGGGTTTAGGGTCTAGGGTTCAGAGTTTAGGGTTTAGGGTCTATGGTTTTTAGGGTTTAGGGTTTAGGCTCCCTAGGCATTGGAGGGCCTTAAACCTCTACGCCTAAACCCTACAAGTCCCCTTAAGCAGATAGAATATGGCTTTGGGTATATTGTAATAAGATCCCCATATACCCCATATTCTATCTACTTAAGGGGGACTATAAACCCGCCTTCAGCTCTAGGCTATCCGGTTTAAGGTTAAGGTCCAAGGATTCTGGTTTCGCTCAGCCCCGGTTTAAGGTCCAGGTTTTGAAGGTTTACCAAGTTTAGGGGCTTATGGCCTAGAGTGCTTATGAGTTTTGTGCTGTGGCCCAGAGTCCAGAGTTGCCGGTCTGAATCATGACTGGGGCGGATGAGCTTGCAGTGCTTGACGAAGTTGCGCTGGGTCTTAACTCGTGCTCTTGCCTAGAGAGCAGGACAGTATTGCCTGAAGCTTACGAGTGGTTAGTAGGGACTTAGGGAAGGTCTTTTATAGGGATTCGATTCCCTTATGACTTATAACCTACTAACCACAAATAAGGAAAGCTGCAAACAAACGGACTCTGCGTGGAGCTACGTAACATTCAGTAGGATGTAAGGGGTCTACCTCAAGGCCTGAACGGCACTACGTTGGACTTTAGGGTTTAGGGTTTTAGGGTTTACAGTCCCCCTTTACTAGATAGAATATGGCTTTGGGTAAATTAGAATAAGATCCCCATATACCCCATATTCTATCTACTCAAGGGGGACCATAAGGATTCCGGGTTCAGGGTTTAGGGTATCAGCTACCGCGAACCTCTTGGGCATGTCTGGTCTGAACTGGTCTTTGCCGTGTCCTGGTTGATGATCCGGCAGCAAAGATTTAGGGTGCAGGGTTTAGGGCTTTGGGGCTTGCTTAGTTTAGAGAGTAGGATTTAGGATTTTAGGATTCATGATTTAAGGTTTAGGTTTCAGGGCGATTTAGGGCTTAGGGTTTAGGGGGTTTAGGATTTAGGGTTTAGGGCTTAGGGGTGACTGTGTGCTGAACCCTCTCAGCATGGGTTCTTTCGTAAATGAGGATGCCTGGGTTACGTCTGCGCTCCCCAAAGTTCAGAGAATCGATTGCACTCTGCATGGAGCTGTAAGCACAACAGGCGTCTGTATTGGAACCATACAACCCTTGAACAAACTACTGAAGGTGAGCACCCAGGCCCTATAGGGCCATGTGAGCCCGGCTGAGCTCATAGACCCTTGCAACCTGGCAAAGACAGCGATCACCCGTTCCAGCAGCTATCAGGCTTTAGGGTTGAAGGGTCTAGTAGTACCTACACCCACTATATAGGAACAAAAAGTTCACAACAACTGCAGGTAAGGGTGTAATTAGAACTCTAGGTGCATTCCCAGGCCGCCAAAAAACAACATGGCTCTCTAAAACCTCTATACTCCCCACCCACATATTCTGTGGGAGTTTCATTTAGAAAGGTCCCCAAAAGAGACCCAAATGTACGATCATCCAGTTCATAGGGACGGCGAAAAAAGGGGCCACGAATCTTTTGCAAGTCCCCATGCCATTCCTCTTCATCGGAGCCTCCTGTCCCTATCCAATCCTAAGCACTTACCCCTATACGACCTAATCCCTACACCTCAAACCGTACAATATCCTAAACCCTTTGTCCCGTGCCTCCTCTCCAGTTGGCGTGGACACAAAGGCGGGCTCGACATGAAATTGGTCACGTTCAGTGATGAGTTTCCCTATGACGGTTGGAGTTGCTGGTGGGCATGAAAACTGCACACTTTCGGAACTAGGGTCTTGGGGCTTTGAGTTGTTTGGAGGCTCCTGGTACTTACCAAGCGGGTTAATCAGTAGAACCCAGAAGCCAGCCACACCTGGGGCACAACACTCCCAGAATAGTACGCCGGATAAAGCTCCAAGTAGCATTAAGTTTCAGACTCGGGCTCAGGCTTCAAGGTTCCGGGTGTGTATAAGGGTATGGGGTCTAGGTCACTGTATCAGTTCCGGTTTGGAAAGTGATTTCTGAATGAGGTACGTCAATACTCTGGGTACACTTACTGGGGTCGCAAGTCTCCAGGCCTTACAACTTGCAGATCAAACCACAGAAGACTTGTGGAAATGTGCCTACCCTAAACCCTAAACCTTCATGGACTGCTGGCCGACGGAAGCCCTCAAAGTGGGTATGCATCGCTTGTATTGCAATTCTCTATCTAGATTCTTGTAACTAGCCCCCGGTTGTAGGGCCTGTAGGCATGTCGGGCTGGCTGACGTCACTTTACAAGGACCTTATGGGGCTGGTTCATAAGGAGCGTATAAACCCTAAACCCTATAAACCCTGGATTCTATATGAGCTATAGTCTAAACTCCTTGTAGCCCCCTTAATAGGCCCTATAATAGTCCCATATATATATATATAACCCTCTTTAAGGACTTTAGACTATAGCTCATATACTTTCCTACAGGTCGCCAAGGCTCCTTCGGATTCCTATAGGTACCTCCCCTCAAACCACCCCTTCAGGACACTCACGAAAACCCTATCAATAGATGCAAGGTTGCCCCATATACTCCGAATTCCTGGAGCTGTGGCCTTTTCTTTCAGTCGCACTGAGAAGTCTCAGCAAGCGGTCCCTACGAAGCAGGCCGTTTGGCCCGGCAGCTCAACGACTGCAGCCTATATAGGCCCTCCACAAGACTAGTAGCCCCGCGACGCATCGCAAAGCAGGCTAACGGTTGACATCAAAGTTTGATAAACCAACAAAGGTAGCAATTGCAACAGATATTATGAATATCAGCAAGTAAAACCAACTCAGAGGTAACACCATCATCAGTAACGTGAGCTTGACAAAGTTCAACATCAGGAATGCTGGATTCACCCCCTAATGCACTGTGAGACATACTAGGCATCAGTATGGCTCTGTAGTGACCTGCATTGGGAGAGCTCCCCATGTGCATGACCATTGAAATCAAGCGGTATGGCACTCTCATCACTTCAGCAGTTGCATCACGGAATACAGGAAAGTGAACATGGCTGGGCCGGAGGCATTTGCGAATCTTTGTGATGCGTCTCCCATGCTGGAACCTGCCGAGCTGAACGCAGACCAATGGAGCCGCTGTATGTAGAGCGTGTACGTACTCTTGATGGTGCCATGCATCAACACAAGCCTGGAAATCCACGAGGTCGCCACTAATGCGGAGTCCTATGGGTTGTGTGAGTTCACCAATCTCCCGTATACCGCCATCGGCTTCTCTAGACTGCCAGCTATGCTGGAGAGAGGGAGGCCCGGCCTTTTGCAGAACAAACGAAGCAAACTCAGAGATGTCATGTTGCCGTTGCGGCTGTCTCCAATCCTGCAAGAACGCTCCCCATTCCAGCATGTGATGCAGATGAACAGGTACATGTACGCGAAGCAAACGTTGCAATACTGTCACCAGCCTTCCAGTTATGGCGCCTCCAAAGAGAGCATCAGCATTATCAGCTGTCCCTGAGCAATGTGTATAGGCCCACATGATGCTAAGAATGAAGGAGTTTTGGTAGCAAACATTGGAGGAATTGAGCAGCACCAAGGTTCGGACATGTTCCCCAGCAGTTTGGACAGCTTGACTGCGCCGGGCGCCCTGTGAATGCGCTCCCTCCGGATGCGGGCGCCCATCAGGTTGAGGATCGCTGACTGAGCCAGTGTTGTCAATGCTTCGTGTAGCATCTGGGCCTCCTGACCGCGAAGCGAAACCTGGATCAGAAAGCAAAGCGTGTCCCCCGCGTATGAGGCCGACATCGGTCGAGTCGCATTGAACCGGTGAAGTGTGTCCTCGTTCGCCGACTGGATGATGGTCTTGACTGCCTCCATGGCCGTCTGATGAAGAAGGGGCTTCCTGTCCTGGTCTGGGATCTCCTCCTTCTTGTCCGCATCGTACTTGAGATAGTGCCACATGAGCTTCTCCTCGGCATCCTTCACCGTCCACTGCATTTGCAGGCTCTGCGCTACTGCCTCCGGCTTGTAGTCCATGGAATCCAGCCTGGCCTGAAGCTCCGTCATGAAGCACCTGAAGAGAGTCAGGCGTAAAGAGGACTTGACCTTGCCCTCCTTCTGCTGTTGCCTCCACTCCGTGCTGAGCTCGAACATCATGCTGAGAATGGATTGCGTGGCCTGGGTGCGCTGGTACATCACGAAGCCTCGATCCAGTCTGATTAAAGAAAGTTCGTCCTCGAACTTGAGTGTCAGGGCCGACAGAAGCTTGATTACTTCCCTGTGCGACGGACTCTCCCCTGATTCCTTCTGGCCCCGCCTTCCGGAACCACGCCTGGATCCCTTGTTGCCGTGCGTTGTGTTCTGTTCCTGGCCTTTGCCCTTGCCTTCCGCACCGTCCTTGCCTCCTGACTTCGGGAACTTGAGAGGTCTCTTGTCCAGTGCTTCCACCGGCTCGATACCCTTCTGCTCCATGTAGCTCGGCAGGAGGTGCTGAAAGAAAGCAATTTCCTGATCCGTGGCCATGTGGCCCCTGCGCCTCAGGTTGGGTAGTGATCTGTATTGCAAGCAAGCATTGCATCAAGACCGTACATCCACGAGCATGCCTGAGTCTGTTGCACTTGCTGTAGGAAAGTCCACAAAGTTGGCACGGATGACGCAACCCTTTGCCCCACAGAGTTGCTGCGGTTACAACTGCAGATTTATGTCGATCCCAAATCTCAGGGTGAGAATTCATAATGTGCGTTTTGACATGTCTGGTATCCCCAATCCATTGAAAGCAGATAACACAGTGTCTGGCCAGCTCTGCACACAACTCAGGAGCGTTCACCGCACTCCCAAGATCAGTCCGAGCAAGCTCATGTAC